ATGAAGAAGTATGAGAAAATATTGCTTACAATTATATGTCAACAAATTGGACAATCTGGAAGAAATGGATAAATTCCTCCAAATAAGCAATCTTTCAAGACTGAATAAAAAAGAAGCAGAAAATCTGAACCAGCTGATTACTACTAACGAAATCGAATCAGTAATCAAAAAAGTCCAAACAAACCAAAGTACTGGACCCAATAGCTTCACAGGTGAATTTTACCAAATATTTAAAGAAGAATTAACACCCATCCTTCTCAAACTATTCCAAAAAATTCAAGAGGACAGAAAGCTCCCAAGCTCATTTTTTGAGGCCACGATTACCCTGATTCCAAAACCAGAGAAAGATGTTACAAAAAAGAAAATTATAGGCTGATATCCATGATGAACATAGATGCAAAAATCTTTAACACATATTAGCAAACCGAATTCAGCAATACATTAAAAATGAATCAGTTCATAAACCATGACCAACTGGAATTTAGTCCTAGGATGCAAGTTTGGTTCAATATCCGCAAATCAAGTAACATGATACACCACATAAACACTATGAAGATTTTAAAAACCCATGATCATATCCATAGATACAGAAAAAGCATTTGACAAAATCCAGCATCCACTTATGATAAAACTCTCAGCAAAGTGGAAGTAAAGATAATGTACCTCAACATAATAAATGCCATATATGACAAACACACAGCTAAAGTCATACTCAGTGGTGAAAAGCTAAATGTGTTCTCCTTAAGATCAGGAACAAGACCAGGATGCCCACTTTCACCACTTTTATTCAACATAGTATTGGAAGTCCTTGACACAGAAATCAGAAAAAAAAATAAAGAAAAAGAAATAAAAGGCATCCACATTGGAAAGGAAGAAGTAAGACTGTCATTATTTGTAGATACTAAAAAGAGAGACATGACACTGTATTTAGAGAATTCAAAAGAGTTCATATATATATGAACTGATTAAGTATAGTAGTAGGATACAAAATTAATATTTAGAAATCAGTTGCATATTATACACCAATAATGTACTGTCAGAAAAAGAAATTAAGGAAACAATCCAATTTACAATTGCAACAAAATAAATAAAATACCCAGGAATAAATTTAACAAAAGAAGTAAAAGACCTGTAATTGGAAAACAAGTACACTGAACAAAGAAACTGAAGAAGATACAAATAAATGGAAGCATATACCATGTTCATGGATAGGAAGAATTACCATCATTAAAATGTCCATATTACCCAAGGCAATCTACAGGTTCAATGCAATCCCTATCAAAATACCTATGGCAGGGCCGGCCGAGTGGCGCAATGGTTAAGAACTCGCTTGGGATGCCAGAGGGCCCCGGTTCGGATCCCGCATATGAGGGCCAGTGACACTGCCCTC